TAGTAGTTCTTTTCTCATTAAAACAAGATACTTGTACAAGAAACTCCAAATTACTATCATAATAACGAACCTCTTTACCACGCCGTATGGGAGGGAAAACTAATGTCTCGTAGAGTGAGAGAAAAGAAACGATTCGAATCAAAATTTAAGTCGTTTTATGTTAGATATTATAAACTAAAGTGACTTCGGATGTCGGAGTGAAAAAAATTACAATTATGTAAAATGAGAGAAAAAAAAAACAAATAGTTCAGATGATTAAGAAAAATGTAGTTAAATAAACTTGTACGGAGTAGTATGATTATAAGGAGTTCTATATAAGCAATAAATATCATTATTTGAGTAGGGCTTTTAGTTTGCAAGTTGGAAAAATCAAGTTTCTCCCTTCGTTTTCTTCAAAATAAAGAAAAATTAACTTTACGCGAGATGATTTAATTTTGAATTAAAATGAATTTATAACTCTAAATTGCAGCTTAAGGCCCATTATATAATTATTTTGTAATAAAACTTCTCCCTTTTAGGTGGGGAATGGAAATTAGGCAAAAATGTTAAAAGAAGATATGAACTCAATTAAGGCTTTTAGTAGTATAATATAGTTTAATTGTTCATAGTTCATCGTACCTTTCTATGTAGATCTTTGGTTGCTATATAAAGGAAAGACTTTGATATCATTTTATAATACAGTTAAGTAACAAATTAAGTAATATAAATGGCTTTTTGAGAGCTACTTTACAACAAAACTTTCTATTAAAAAAACAAAAAAAGAAAAATAGGTATTATTGGAAAGTTGAGAATTAACATATTATCAATATAAATTGAAGAGAATAAGTTATTTTGTAGGATTTCTTGCTCTAAAATCAAGTTTTCAATTGCATTCTTCAAACAATGGGTTAGCGTCATCACCACTTCTAATGCCATGTTAAAATTTCTAATGGATTTGCTTGTGTAAAGGAAAAGTATTACCACATCAATTCTCTAGTGATTTTTCATCATATTACATAGAAAAATAGATTTATCATCATAAAATTAAAAGGTAATATGTAATGTAACCATTATATACTTTTATGCATGTTAGTCAACTTACCTTTTTGTTTTTGTTTGAAGTGGTTTAATCATCAAGTTAACTTGCAAGTTGGTTTTCTCTTAACTAAAGGTGCTTGATATTGTTAGAGGTACACGTACCTTTGGAGTTGTCTTCTCTATGCTACCAAATGGACCAACTTTGCATTCTTCACGAGTCTCTTCTCTTTTAGGGATCCTTTGATTAACAAAATGGTTTGGTATGAGTTTGAAACCATAAATAAATTTGGATATTATATTATTTGTGTGAATTTTAATTCTAAATATCATATGTTTGGTTCGGTTATGCCATGACTTAACTTCTTCCCTTGTGTTTTTAAACATAAAATCTTATACAAATGAGACTTATATATACGATTGAGATATGTGTTTTGAAATTAAGATTTTCTCAAATAAATGGTAATATGCATGAGTTTTAGTTATTTCAAACTCATACTCTATGTCTTATTTGTGTGAACTAAACGCCCTCCTATAACACCACTTTAGGAGTTTAGGTACATGAAAATTTGATCCCATAACCTATATGAGACCAAGGTATGCTCTACACTCTAAGCTACCAACTGAAGAATGTATTTGATATTTTTTCATTCAAAATGACTAAATTGTTTTTGAGTTGAATGTATTCATTCGGTATGAACACAATTAAAAAAAAAATTCAATTAATTGCCTAAACAGATTAATTTATCTCATAAGTCATACAAGTAAATCAAGTTGTTATGTAAAATTATTTCAACCATACTTGCTAATATAATAGCTTTCACTATATCTTATTACCAATATACACGAAGTATAATGAATAAAATTGTACCCCTAAATAAGTAACCCCGACCACACAAAAAAAGCACCGAAACTTATAGGAATATTAGATTATTCAAAATATATTTTTTTTTTTATTTTTGATACTCTTATTATTTTTGAATAATAAGAACATCAAAAATCAAAAAAAAAAAAAAAATTGAATAAAAAGAATATCAAAAATCAAAATGGTGTAATTAGTTTTAAACACCGATGAAGTGTATACTTCGTGTCAAACAATCCCAATAATTCGTGTTTGTGTGTATTGGACAAACTTAGATATTGAAAAGGAATAAGATAGAGGTGAATTTATGCGTTATGGACAAAATACGGGAAACCGGTTTGTTGGAGTAATAAGAGACACTCCACCCTTTGTACTGGCACACCTGTAGCCGGAGTTACTCCTTGCGAGTTTACCGGGAACCTACCAATTCGCCCCATTTCTTGTACCCCCAAAGTTCTTACATTGTGTGCCATTTTTGTTCTTTACCTACTATTAGTCAAAAATTTTAAACTCTTATGATTATATACAAGAATTCAAAATCCGATGATATAATCAATAAGCATATTCATAAGCTCATATCAATAATTGGTGTTGTTAGTCGGTAAGTAAAAACATTCTATTTTATCAAAAATTCGCAAAGGTCAATATGCACCTGACTTATTTAATTACATAGTACGTAAATTCATATGTGTTGAATATCTATTTCTAAAGGTTAAGAGTGTATTCTCCTTACCTAGATTTGACTATCTTAATTTATTGTGATTGGTTAATTGGGTGTCGGTTTTCATTATTTTTTTTTTATGAATTAAATATTTGCAAGGTTAAAAGGATGAAAGTTTCCTTTGTAAAAATAATGTGTATGTACGGGTTCTTTTGTCCCCAAATTATGTTAACATTCATTTGTTGTACCATTGTGATATGCTGTATAAAAGCTTTGACAGATACTTGCATAAATAAATTAAGTAAATGTCCATAAAGTCTTGTATTATGAGATAAGATGACTTTTAATATGACATAAGGTGATTTCTATCGAAATCAATGGCTTTTAATAAGATATGATGAGATGACTTGACTATTTGTGTTGAAATCTCCTTGTAATTAAAATAATAATAAACATAAAAATAAAAAAGAAACATTTTGGTAATTAACCAATAGATCACAATTCACCAAAACTTAAATCTTTGGATTATACACACAATCTATTCTAACAAAAAAAAAAAAAAAAAAAAAAAAAAAAATCTACACACCATCATTAAAAATACATAACTAAGAAGATGAAGAAAATTTCTCCAATAAGTATTTATCTTAATTCCGAAACAATCTTTTCAAACTACATTTCTAGCCCATGTGTTAGTACGAATACATTTTGTTATAAGAGAAATTTAAAATTAATTTACTTAGCGTGTATAAATACATACAAATATATAATAAGACTAGATAATTAACTAATTAAATAATCCTACTGGACATTAGTTAGTATTTGGTACTTCCACGCACTTAATTACAAGTTCATGGAAGTCATTGTCAACTTGGTAGAAAGGATTAAAAAGTTGAATAATTTTGTCTAAGAAAGTTGCTGTCAAAATGGCAAGGTAACTAAACTTTGATTATAAGGGTGTCCAGTATGTTTAGCAACAATTAAACACAAGAGGGGCCCTTAATATTATCCCTTAACAACAATTAATTAACCACGTAATCATCCTTTCCTGGTAATTACGGCACGAACACATTTTTGGTATATTATTCATTCATACTGCAATTATCAACTCTAGACTTTAGATGACATTATATTGTGTTTGATATATGTACATAGAAATCTTCTTTTACTTTTTACGGTTAATATATTAATTGATATGTAATGCATTCATGATAGATGTCTTAGGATGCACCCTTTACTTTTGTTTAATTTGAGGTTGTACATCACCGGATAGCGATAAATTTATATTTAAGGTCGAGAAGGTTTAAACGGCAGGAAACTCTCACATTAAATATTGTTACATTATCAAAACTCGAACATGATGACATGAGACATATCACATATGCTTTCATAGAATATTTTCTTGTTATATTTTACTAATGCAATATGATTGTAAATTTTGATTCTAAATAATGCAAAATGATTTTTTTTATTTGAAATGTAGGAATTTTCTCTTAGCATAAGTTGATTGTTTTTTTTTTAAACATAAAAATATCATAATCTCTATCGAAAAGAACACTATATGTAACACATACAAGTGTGTATTAATTGGACATATGAATATATGATTCCACAATCGTTTATGAAAAAGACTTTGAGTATTTTTTTTTATGGATTTTACTTTTTTATATCGTTAGATTAATATTAGAGCTCTAGAAACATGCATTAGTAGTATGAAATGTTTATCCACTTAGGAGTATCAAAAAGGAATCTTGATTCTTTAATATGATCATTTAACAAGTTTCATTGTTATTTTATATGACTATGTTTTTTTTACCTTTATGTTTATGTGTATTCTTTTCCCTCCTCTATCAAATGAAAGTTGCTACTTTCTCTCCTAAAAACAACTCATGCCACATATTAGGGATATTCGAAAAAAAAAAATCTATATATAAAACATAGTCATAAACTACTACTTATGTTAAAAAATAAAATTTATAGAATTCACTCCACTCAAGTGAGGAATCAACTAATGTACATCGTAAAGGATAAATCAATGGAACCATATCAAAGTCCCAATTAATTTAGTTTTACTAAAAACTGAACACTCAATCATCGTGATTAAAATAGATACGTCTAACGCCCATCTTAAATTGCAATTTCAACTCCTAATTATCAATAGTACAATTAAGATTATTGTCATAATGTAGAAAACTTAACCCAATTAACACATCAATTATGCCTCCAAGAGTAGTTGTGGTTTGACCTTAAGCTTAGATAGCATGGAACATCCATGTGTTGGTCGGTCAAGCAAGCTAGCTAACGTTAATTGTTAACAAATTGAAAAACCCAAAATTATACTAATAAAAAAACCTCACATAAATTGACAACTCTACCCACCAATATAGCTACCCTTTTATTTATTTTTTTATTTATATATTTTTATTTATTTTAATTTTATTTTTATTATTATGAATTTTGAACCCTGAGTTGGAGCAAAGCAAACACCCTTTCCCCTTTCCCCTTTCCCCTTTCTTTCTTCTATAAAAACCCACATCTCCCCTTCTTTCCTTTACACCCACACTCCCATAACCAACAACAAACAAACCATCTCATTTCTCCCTCTTCTTTCTCTCTCTATAAAATTATTTACGAATTAACAAAATTCATTACCGTTTAGCTATAGCCATGCCTGAGGCACCAAAAGAAACATATGATCACCCAAAAAAACCCATGGAAGTTTACAACATGTATGAACAAAACAAGAAATCTCTTGAGTTCATTGAGGAAGTTACCGAAAATGCTGATCAACTTCAAAAGAGAGTTCTCTTTGAAATCTTAACTCGAAACTCCAACGTTGAGTACCTTCAGAGGCATGGCCTTAATGGTGCTACTGATAGGGATACGTTCAAGAAACTCATCCCTGTTATTAAGTATGAAGATATTCAATCCGATATTACTCGTATTGCCAATGGGGATAAATCTCCCATCCTCTGCTCCCATCCCATCTCCGAGTTCCTTACTAGGTATGTAAAACTGGGCGACTCCAGCAAAGACTTTAACCAGCCAAACTAGTTGTTGCTGTTCTGTCGTTCTGTTTTGTATTATTTTTGTTGCATTAAATTTTGAGATTGATTAAATTTTTTTTTTTGGAAATTGTTGTTGGTTGTAGCTCTGGAACATCTGGAGGAGAGAGAAAATTGATGCCTACAATTGAAGAGGAGTTAGACAGGAGGTGCATGTTATACAGCTTACTAATGCCAGTTATGAGTCAATTTGTGCCTGGCTTAGACAAAGGCAAAGGGATGTATTTCTTGTTCATAAAATCTGAGGCTAAGACTCCGGGCGGGATCTTGGCCCGACCCGTTTTAACCAGCTACTACAAAAGCTCACATTTCAAAAACCGACCTTTCGACTCTTACACCAATTATACTAGTCCTAATGAAGCTATCTTATGCTCTGATTCCTACCAGTCCATGTACGCCCAACTCCTCTGTGGCCTATTCGAACACAACGAGGTTCTTCGGGTCGGGGCAGTTTTTGCCTCCGGGTTTATCCGGGCCATTAAATTCCTCGAAAAACATTGGACCCTCTTGGCCCATGACATCCGGGTCGGGTCACTCAACCCGCAGATCACTGACCCGTCCGTTAGGGATGCAGTGATGCGGGTCCTGAAACCCGACCCTAAGTTAGCGGACTTTATCGAGTTCGAATGTAGCAAGAAGTCATGGCAAGGGATCATTACTAGGTTGTGGCCTAACACAAAATATGTTGATGTTATTGTGACAGGGACCATGGCACAATATATTCCTACCCTTGATTATTATAGCAACGGTTTACCCCTTGTTTGTACCATGTATGCCTCTTCTGAATGTTACTTTGGTGTCAATCTTAACCCACTCTGCAAGCCAAGCGAAGTTTCCTACACCCTTATTCCTACCATGGGTTACTTCGAGTTTTTACCCGTTCAGCGTAACATCAATGGCGTTACCAATTCCATCTCTATGCCGAAATCTCTCACTGAGAAGGAGCAGCAAGACCTCGTCGAGCTCACTGATGTCAAGCTCGGCCATGAGTACGAACTTGTCATTACTACTTATGCCGGTAAGTTACTTATTCTCGGTCTTTTTTAACTACACGATTGTTATTTGTTACACATGATTAGTGATAGGCCTAACACGATGCGTGAATTAATGTGGATCCATAATTTACTCACTTAAGAACCTTTATTTGTTCCTGATAAAAAAGGGGATGTTTTAGGGAGGGAAAAAGGCGTGTGAGGAATGTATTGAATTTATATGGATAAGATCCGAAAATATATTTGTTATATGTATCACATTCTTTGAAAATTCTCAAAATTCCTTTATTAATTTTCGAGCTTCTAAAAATATTCCTTATTAAATTTCTCAAATAACCCCTTAAAAAGTTTTCAAAAAGCCCAAAATATCCCCATGAGACTAAAAAAAGCGTATCATGGTCACAATGATAAATTAGGCAAACCTCATTAATACTTCCTCATTGTTACATTATTATAATCGACTTTTTATTTTATGATGGAACCTCACTAAACTTGTACATATACAAACACAGGTTTGTACAGATACAGAGTAGGCGACGTTCTGAGGGTGGCGGGATTTAAGAACAAGGCACCACAATTCAACTTCGTGTGCCGCAAGAACGTGGTGTTAAGCATAGACTCCGACAAGACCGACGAGGTGGAGCTCCAAAACGCGGTCAAGAATGCCGTAACACACCTACAGCCATTCGACGCCACCCTACTAGAGTACACTAGCTATGCTGACCTATCAACCATACCAGGCCATTATGTACTATTTTGGGAGCTAAGCCTAAATGGCTCCACCATGGTACCGCCTTCGGTTTTTGAGGATTGCTGCCTAGCCATCGAGGAGTCCCTTAACAGTGTGTACCGGCAAGGCCGGGTTTCGGACAAGTCCATCGGACCACTAGAGATCAAGATAGTCGAAAACGGAACGTTTGATAAGCTTATGGATTATGCCATTAGTTTAGGGGCGTCTATTAATCAGTACAAAACTCCTAGGTGTGTTAAGTTTGCACCCATTGTAGAGTTGCTTAACTCGAGAGTTGTGTCATCGTACCGTAGTCCGAAATGTCCAAAATGGGTCCCAGGTCACAAGCAATGGTGCAATGGTAATGAAGAAAGATGAGGGGTAAAGAAGTAATTTCATTGCTTGATTGTGGTTGAATGAATGTTAATGGAGGATAAGAAGAAGAAGAATGAGCTGTTTTTGTGATCATTTTGGGTAGGAGGATGATCAATTCAAGGACCCATTTTAGATGGAGTACTATTCATCGGTCTAATTTTAATTAATTAGTTTCTTTTTTTAATCTTTTTTTTTTTTTTTTTTTTTATCTTATGTATGAATTTGTAGCACTTGTTCATGAGCAATGTGTAGGGACAATGAAAATGTTTAGGTTTCGTTTGTACAAAATTAATTAATTCCCTCTTTTTCTAAAGGAGGAACGTTTTTTAATTTCTTTAACTGTCTTGGTGTACTCGTGACTGTAATTTATCGCTGCCTGTTAAAAGCGAGTGGGTGTATGATAACGAAATATATCCAATTACGTATAGCATTCTTATGAATTTTAGTTTGAGAAGAAAGCTTTTTCTTGTAGAAACTAAACTTCAATGTTTCACTTCCTCACTCACTTCTCTTCTTTTATTTCTACGGTTGTTATTCAAACACAATTACTTTCTAATTGGCATTATTCCTACTTCATAGTAGTGGATATTTTTTTCTTGAAAATAATTGTTTAAGAGTAGTGTTAACTTGATTAAGATGATTGTTTTAGACAACGAATGATTAAAACTGATTTTTACCGTCCATATTTTAGCATAACAACACCTAGAATAATGTCAAGTGCTCAATACTTGTAATTTGTAACTTCACAAAGTTAAAATTACATCAATGTATTCAACATACAATTAGATTGAACGAACTTTATGTTTTGAAATAACATTTTTAGTTTCACCAAATCAACTAATCATGGACAAATTCTGAATCTGGTCCAAACTTTAGAGAATTCAAACTTTAAAACTAGCATGCTTTTTAGATGACATACAAAGAAGTTATGGTACTACTACTTGTTGAGATGTAAACATGCATGTGGATGACAACGTCTAAAGGAAAAAGACCAACATGTATGATGTATGTTACTCAAATACGTTATCCTTGATTGGAGAAAAGGTCTAATACATTATTTAACTAATTTCTATCATGATTTACAAAATTACTTCCTTTGTTCTATAGTGATTGTATGATCATAATTTAATTTTCCATGCTAATCAATGCATAATTTTAACCATCAAAATTTATATGAATGTGTTAGATTTGTCTCGATATATAGTTTCAAAATATTAAACTATTTTTAAAAAAATGTATACAGTATAAGACGTTGAAGATATTAATGCTAAAATTATAAATACATTGAAATTTGTATAAAATAATATGGGACAAACAGAAAAGAATGGGTAGAATAATAAAAGAAATAGTCTATATTTAAAAAATATTAACATATATATATATATATATATATATATATATATATACTTAGTACATTTTCAAGATTATTCTTATATGATAAATATTATAGTAATTTTGTTAAAAAAAATAATATATTATATTAATTCATATATACTGAAAATATTTAGAATATGTTATATACACCCGGGTGCACCGTATACCCAACTAACCCAAGGTTGGTTTTTGCTCTTCATTTGGTGATTAAATGAAAAACAATCATCAAAATGAGAACAAAATACTCATGAGTATACGGTGCACCCGGGTGTATATAACCATCTCTAAGAAATATTCACATGTTACAATCATTATAGAACGAAAGAAAAATCACTAATTTAATATGGTGGAAAATTTATTTGACCTGAAAATTATGCCTAAAAAACTATTTTAAAACAAAAATAGTTTTTCTAATGGAAATAATGGGTGTTCCGATCCCTACATAAATTCAGCCATAAAATCTGCCCACTGAAGTCTCATGGGCCACTTCCTAAAACGGCAAAGCCAAGCCTCCCTTTAAACTCTAAATTCTTTTATATTTTTCCCCCTCCTTTTATGTTTGTTAATTATTATTATAACTAATTAATTAATTAATTAAAATGTTCAAGCTTCTTAAAGAAGAACAACTTTTCTGCATCATTAATTTAGGTCTTTACTTTACTTATTTTCATTGCTACTGAATCTAAGCCATCTGTTTAATTCCCCTTTTTAGTGAATATATCATCTCATTATCACCTAAAAAGTTGTCATGGGACTAGCCATGTGTGACAGGCATTTATTACTACTACTACTGTACTGCTCCAAATTCTTCTCTAAATTCTATGCTATAGCTGATTAGCCTGACAATTAAGCAACTTATTGGTGCCCAAAAGTCTATGCCTATCATATTCTAACTAACTCCGTTTAATTTATCACTAAACAACTTGTTTAAATTGCCACAATTTTATTCCGGTCGTATTTGGGTGATGAGTTAAATAGCTCTACTTCTAATCATGTTTAATTGAATACGTGTTATGGTTTATTATAATTTTTTTGTATTTATTATAATACTCTGTATTGTTAATGTTTAATTTGAGTAATTTTATATCGTCTAATTTCAGGATAATAAGAATATAATCTAAGTAAGTGAAATTTCAAAGTCTATTTATCCCATTAATTATCCAAATGCTAACTCTTAAGTATAAAGTTTATTATTGTTCCTAAAAAAAAAAAAAAATTAAAAAAAAAATAAATAAATAAAAGAAAGAAGAAGAAAAAAGTTTATTATTGAGGATATATGTTGCTAGCTTTTTTAGTGTAAATTTCCTAACTTGTTAGGCGAATAAACTTTTTGTTTTTTCGAAGGAATTATAATCCTTAAGCAATAGACTTAGTTGACTTTTTCTATATTAATATTTCTGTTTGGCTGAATTCCAATAATTTTTTTTACTAAGTAGCAAGAAAGAAGTTACGTATAATAAAATAAAAATTGTTTTAAAAAAAACGTATTGGTTCAAAAATTCTAGTTATTGACTAGTACAGGAGCATCTTCGCACATTTATTAAATGAATTGATGTTGTCAGTGCTTAACTCGAGATAATAGTTTATACGATTCATTTTGCACCATTACGAGTGTCACCCTTCAATTATTGATCACACACTCCTTGTACTCAGGCATAAAAGGATAATTATTGTAGTAGTTAATACTTCATCCTTTTAAAGATCTTGCACTTTAACCCTTTTTTTTATTGGACAAAACTTACTCAACCTGAAATGATTTGATTCAGATTCGAGATATATCAATATTAGTCTGTAATGTAATTGTACTTGAACGTAATCGGCTCAAAAGTTTGCATGAATGAATTGGTGTATAATCCATGATAAACCAGCTGACATTTACGTGCAATTAAATAGACACAACTTAAATCAAATGGAACCGATCGATTTAAGCGATTTGAATTAATGGTTATACTAATTAAAAATAGACATTCTTCAAAGGAGAGATGAAGTATCCAATTATGAGTACAATTTTATAGTGTAATCAATGTAGAGGAGCTTTTTCAAGAACAATAATTATGGTCAAATGTCCCTAATAGTTCTCATCATGGATGGTGTTATAGACTATAAAATATACTCCATATACATTATGTGCAATATAGCCAATAGTTAGGGAAGAATACTTTTGGATACTTCCCTGCAATAACTAGATTTAACAATTGATTTTAAGTCAATGATGAATTAATTAGAATATGTCTAGTTTTAACAAATTAGTTATGAGGCTACATATGCTGCGGCCAGGCATCCTAGCACTTTGTTTAACAAGTTAATTGGCAATACCAATTGACTATAATCACATTAATACGACCAAGAGTTACCTCCATAATTGCTTCTCTTAAAGAATTGAGGAATGAAAGCAAAACATATTAATCCTTATTACATTATCAAAAGTACAATATAGTATTTCATTCAATTTCAAGAAGTATTTCCTCCGTGCTATTTTAAATATCAACAACAATTTGACTTTAAGACCTGTCAGTTTATAGCACATAATATTGACTACTAATGCAATTGATTAACTATTACTTCCAATTATAAAAGATTATTGTAATATATGATACAATAATATTATCCAACAATATCCTAAATTTCCTAATAACACATTTATTTTATTGTATACGCTAAGATAAAAAGTATAGTCAAATAAACGTATACACAGTGAGAATTAAGGTTGGTCTAATGATTAGAAGCCCTTCTTTCATCCCTATGAAAGGGGTTTATGGGCGACCAAATCATGCATGTGAATTTTGACAAATGATTTACGCAAGATATTATGATACCATGACACGAGAAACATGTTCTCTCTTGAGCTCCTTTCATCCTTACATGTATTGTTGTTATTAGTTACTCATAAGTCAAAACCAATTGATAACAATAGGTGAAGCTCGATAAACTTATTTACCAACCTCTAGATTAGACGAGTGCCTACTCAAAATATCTTAGTTTAATAATTCTCAACTACATACCTATAATTATATATAAGTTACTCTTAGTTTTATAAATTGTAAGTACATATATTTGATAAAATAGGTAAATAAATCGAGGAAAACTTATACTACCTCCGTTAATTATTATATGTAACTTTGGGACATTATTTATGAGATATAAAAAAATTCCAAAATTGCACATAATATTTAATAGAGTTAGTATTAATATAGTATAATAACTTTAATCGGGGTTTTATTAATTAACTTATAAATTTATCGTGTAATTGCTATGAAGCAGTAAGAATAAATTAATTGTAGCTATGGTTGATTAACGTAATTTCTAAATTAATGCATGCACTAAGCATATCATGTCCATCCACGTCGTTTTGATGAGTTATCTACTTTGTATTTTATTATAATGTGGATAAGTTCATACCCTAGTCTTGACTATATATTAAACAAGAAGTTTATGTATTCACTTCACTATAATATTACCTATAGTATTTTCCTACCGTGTGTATAGTCATATTAATGAATTTTGAATTTGTTTAAGTAGGACTTGCTTTGACAAATACTCCATGAGTTACTAGATTGTAACGAGGTGAGAAAATTGTGATGAAGGCATTGACAAGTTTGGTGTCGGATCATGTTAGGGGAAAACTAAAAGAATCCCTATCATTGAGAAATCACAATTAAGCTCTCGACATATAATAATAAATTTAGGGGTAATTTAAACGCCCAACATCTTAATCATACTGATATGTCAGGTACCCCCTCATCCCCTTTTTTATCTGTCCCACCTTCTTTTAAGTCATCCCTTAAAAATTGCTCCATACTATAAATGTACGTGGGAAATCATCATATCACTTTACTGTCACAAAAATTACTATATGATTTGTCACTTTTTTCTCTCATACAGAACAAACGATAGGAGACGAAGGGAGTACCACTAAACTCGTAGTGAACATATTGATTACGTAGTCATGTTATTGAATATGGTGGAACCAAGGTGAATTAAATAGTGAGCCCTAGACATTCGGAAAAGGGTAGGGTCACCCAAAGGTGCATCCGGGCCGGGTCAAAAAGACAAGAAGAGTGAAGAG